GCTCTGTGGGACTGTCAGAACAGGTGAATCACAGACAGGGACCTGGGTTCTGTCCTGGTGGGTAAAGGGCACTGCCCACTCTGTTCAAAGACTCCCCTTAATAACTCAAGGTGAGTTCCAGCTGTTCGTTCTCCAATATTAGCTGTTCTCTGATGAGTTCAAACATTTAAGACAACAAAACTTTCTTATTATCTTAAAAACAAAGCTCAGTTCACCTGTAAATGTGCTTCTGGGGTGCTCCATTTTGAACACGTCCCAAATGCTGCGTCACCTACAACCTTATCTTTATTTTTTAGGTCTCTTGAGGAATAAGAATTACAAACTCTTCCTTCGAGCTTCCCTAATTCATCTGCATTTCAGATCTCTGTCCTAATTTGCTCCGACTTGTTCAAGACAATATTTCACGAGCCTCCCCCTTGAACGACTCAAGAGGCATCACCCACAGGCTGGAGGCCCCAGCCCGCCCCTCCCCCAGCACTTTGCACACACACTGTACTGGGCACACCTTTGCTGGCTGTGTGCTCCCCAGGGCAGCAAGCCATTCAATTTACCTTTTAGATCTGTGCCTCTGGGCACGATGACAGTGAGGGTCCACGGGTCGCCTCCTTGTGGCTGTTGGCCCACTTAACTTTAGAAAAAAATCCCTTCAATAAAATCAAACAGCAGTGCTTTATAGCTCTGTTCCAAAACTGAATGTGGGAAATGAAAATAAAACATATGTTTCTATTACAAAGGAATAAAAGCCATTGCTACTGAAAACAACTTCACACACCCCAAGAACAATCAAGACAACGGAAGCCGTAAAACCAGCACTAGCAAAGGGTGACACTTGATAGTCAATCTTGCCCCAAATGTGCTGAATTCTCCTTTTCTCTGTCAAAGCCAGAGCACAGAACCTATTACTGCAAGTTAATCTTCTGAAGTGGATGCGATTTAATCCAATTCAACACATCTATATGTGTGTACTTGCCTGGCTGTGTTGCTGGCTTAGAGTGTGAGCTGGCTGCATTAAGACTGTGTCTATGCGGCCAAATGCTTCCAAATGTACTGTACAATTTGCTTACAGAAGCTGGAGGTGCCGAGACAAAGCGAGCACGAGAGGCAGCACAGGGCAGAGCACAGATCAGACTCCTGAAAACCACGTCTTTCCATACAGTACCTATGACCTGCTACCCTTCCGTGTCCAAGAACACCTGAGAATGTGGACAGGTGCATTTACACACGTCAACTGCTCCCTAACCCCAAAGAACAAATGGTGGCTTTGCGGTAGGGCAAGCTGGCAGATGCCCCCGACCCCAGCCCAGAACCATACACACCTGTGGTGTTCCACCTGAAGGGAACACGCTGGATCCAATGATGAGGCATCAGAGAAAGGGACCTTCTCAAAACAACAGGTAGGTCCCCCGCATGCACAGCTAGGCCAGGAGAAGGAAAGGCGGATGCCTCATTCCAGGTTAAGGACAACTAAAGGACCTGCCACAGCAACAAGGACCGTGGACGAGGTCCATGTCTAGTGAGGCTGAGAACAACCCAGTCGACCTGCCACCGAGCAGCAGAGCTGGAATGTACAGAACCTGAGCCCAGAGCTCGTTCTGAGCTGCTGGACCTCCGGGCTTAGGGGCAAACACGCCTAACAGCCACACATCGTAAAAATAGCTTCATTTTTTGTCTTAAGCATTTTTTCAACTAAAGCTTATATACTCCATTGTGAGAAATAGCATAGTTGGTACTTAATCTTCATGGGTTTACCGTTTACAGTTTTAAGTACACAATAATACATACTAATAATTAATGATTAATAATTTAGAAATAAAATAATTAATAATTAAAGATTCATGAACTGAAAAACTTTGCAAAGAAACCGAGTCAAAAAATAAAACTAGCTGGGTGTGGTGGCACATAGCTATAAACTCACTGGCCCTCGAGGCTGAGGCAGGAGGATCATGAGTTCAAAGCCAGCCTCAGCAAAAGTAAGGCACTAAGCAACTCAGTGAGACCCTGTCTCTAAATAAAATATAAATAGGGCTGGGATGTGGCTCAGTGATTAAGAGCGCTGAGTTCAATCCCTGGTACCCAAAATAAAAAAACAAATGAACAGAACCATATGTGTTACGTTACTTATGAAGGAAAAAAAGCACAGCGAGTGAGTAAACTGTGTCAACCATCCATTGTGGGTGTGCAAACGAGGAATATTCTGGCTTTGTATTGGAGAGAATATAATCTGCCTAAAAGCCTCTGGTGGCAGTGGAAGGGAATTAACAGTGAAACCAGTGAATTCAACAAGGAGTCAGGCATTCTCAGCAAAATACCCGAGCTCGACCTGCTTGTGCCTGGGCGATACACAGGTACCCAGGAATCCAGGCAAACTCTGTAAATGAGGAGGCCCAGCAACCGTTCATTTCTCCTAAACTGCTGTGAGTTTGAGCTGGAAGAAGCACCCCTGCATTCCTTTTCCACCCCTATGCAGCAGCTATAAGATGAAACCAATCATCAGAGAAAACCCTGAGACATAATGAAGTGAGAGTGGGGGCGGGGGGGGGAGCGCGCACACACGCACATGCAAAAACACGGCGACTGTGAGGAGGAGTGGAACCAACTCTCCACTGCAGTTACCGATGCTCAAAGTTTCAAAGACTCGAACTGAAGTAAGTTTCAATACACACATGCTCAAAATTATATCCCAAACACAAACACACACTTCCAGTCTAATTACTCATGTTTTAGAAATACTGAGCTTCTTCTGAATGCCAGAGATCAATACGGTCCTAGGAGACCAACACAGCACAAGTCCACAGATCCAGCGCTGAATAAATTTTCCAAAGTTTCAACCTTCTTTTGGTTGCGATTGGATGGGTCCAGATGACCCATCAATTAACATGAGATGTGATAAATCAGATGGTATCAATAACTGTGAAGAAAAATGAAGCAGGACCAGAACAGAGAATGACAGGAAGATGAAGTCTCGACTGAAGTGGTCTCAGACGGCTTCTCCTAGGAAAAGCCATCTGGGCAAAGACCACATGGAGCCAGAAACTGGGCCATGTGGTCATTTACAGATGCGTGGAGAACTGCACCCCCAGCCTGGTCAAGTCCTGCAGTCAGAACATGCCCACAGGCTGCTAACGGCTGTGAGAGGTGCCCAAGTAGATGGGGCCAGGAGAGGACTCAGGGCACGGGCACCATGCTTCCTGTCCTGGTCAGCATCACTGGCTACCAGGTGGAAGGGTGGCACTAGAGAAGCAAGAATAGAGCCAAGAGTAGCCACGGGCCCTTATAATAGCACAGGCCAAAACTGTTAGCAATCTGGTCAGAGTGATCTCAGTGGACATCAAGGAGGACATTGTTAGATTCTGGCCTTATTTTGAAAATACAGCCGATGGCACTGCTGAAGGACTGAATGCACGGATTTGAGTAAAAAATAAGAAACAAGGCCTCCACGTTCTTCACCTGATGACCGCTCGTGACATTCACCGAAAGAATAAGAGTAGGGATGGTGCTGAATCAAGAGACTGTTTGGCTACACCATAGATTTTAGGAGCCTAGTAGTCATCAAAAAGGAGGTGGACAGCAAGCAGCCGCATGCCCAGGCCTGGGGAGGAGTGTTAGTGAACCTGACAGAGACACAGGCAAGACTCAAGAGGAACTGAAAGAGAGAGAGAGAGACAGAGAGTGTGTGTGGGTGTGTGAGTGTGTGTGTGCTGAAGACTGAACACAGGACACACCAAGGATAAGATGGGGAAGAGTAACACAAAGGGAAATCTGTTTTGTTCCCCACCCCCAATAAAATAATAAGCCCAAGGGGAAGGGGGTTAGCCCAGAGCACTGTAGAGAAAACGCCGAGGTGGCCACTGCTAACTGGAATTATTTCCTCCCGGATTTTTTGCTAGACATTTACATTCTTTGTTAAAACCCAGGTCACTGTTGCTTGCTTGTTTTAACACAAGATAACGCTGACCTGTCAGGATGACAGTCACAGAATTCAGACCACATTTGTTTGTGTGTTCTGACTTGTAACGTCCGTCTCCGTGCTGTCAGAACAAGCTCCACTCGGTGGCTCATCCGCCCGCCAACACCATGCCCAACACTGTACCCCAGCCCCTCAAGGGCTATGTGGGCACCTTTACCTAGACTTCTCTTGGCACATTTCTAAACAGGACTCCCCTCTTTTACAAAGCAACACCTCAAGGGTCTAGCTAAGTCACCCATGCAGTGAAGGCTCCGACTGAAAGTGGCCTCCCTTCAGCTTTACAGCGCCCACTCATCGGGGACCCTGGATGCTGGGGAGGTGGTGGTGGGTAGACCAGCAAGGCCTTTAGATGCTTTACATCCTACAGTGTGTCCTGGGGGAAGACTTTAAAGATAAAATTTCAGATGATGAATAGTCATGGGAATAACACAACCAGGAGGAGGAGAGAAGGGAGAGGGAAGCCTTGAGACTCGGCCTCAGGGCAGGAAAAGAGGTGTGCACACCCCTAGGGAAGGGCAGCCAGGCAGGAGAAACAGTCACAGCAGGACAGCAGGATGCGGGCAGGCAGGCAGGGGCAGCATGGCTGGCCAAGCAGCACAGGAGGGCCAGCCTTAGGCGACCTCAGGGGCCACAGTGACGGATCTCCACTGATTTCCAGCTGTAGTAAGACGTCACCTTTAAGTCACATGAAGAAGCACAACACAATCTGATGTGGAATCACAGACACTATGGCAGTTATTGAGAGACTAGCAGGAGACGAGTTCGGAGGTTGGAATGTTCCCAGCCCAGAGCTGACAGTGGCTTGAGTCAGCATTTCAGCAACAGTGGTGCTAGGGTCCAGGCACAGGATGTTCTGTAGGTGACAGTGACAGCACTTGCTCGTGGACCTCAATGAACAAGACCCAGCACAGGTGACTTCCAGCCACACCAGGGCCCTGCCCGGTATTCACCCACTGGGCTGTGCCCGAGGGGGCACGCATAGGTACCTGCAGAACCCACAGAGAAACATAAGACAGCTTACAGTCTCACTTACCCAAATTGGGGTCAGTGGCCTGACGTTTCTTGATTTTAGCTTCAGAAATGGCAGAATAATAGGCACAAGTCATCTTGATCAGCCAGGTCGCTCGAACCATTGGTACTGAATATTTAGCTAAATACGCAAAAACATCCTCCTTTTTACTAAGGATGGGAACCTAAAAAGAAATGACATAGTTATGACAATAACATACTGTACCATTAATCGACATACTTACAGAGGGGCTGGGAATTACCTACTGCTGTAAGAGCATTTCTGATGAATTTTTAAATGGTGTATTCAATTTTTTAAAAAGGAACATTTTAAGCCAATTTTCATTAAGAAAAAAATCAAAACCGTTTAGTACAATGGCAAAATAGTTCCATTCGTTGTGCTTTCTTGTTTACAAAACAAATCATCCTAAAACTTTCAGATGCTGAAGCTATTCAGCCTCTGAAAAAAAGGAAAAAGTAATTCCATGACATTTTTCCCAAAAAATTCTCTCAAAATTGGAAGGGACAGACCACGAGTAAAGTTGTCCCCACTCTGTTTTTTATCCAGGGAACACTTTTTTTATATAAAGCTTTCTAACTGCAACATTTTATAAGAGTAACAATTTCCAGAAAGCGTCTAAAAATGTCTTTAGTCCAATATTTAAAAGAGAGGCTAAGATGATGGATCAGTAAATCTGCTGATGAACACTGGGCTAGAAATAGCTGGGTAATTAATTCAGTGCTTGGAAGTGGGCACTTGAGGCAGTTAATGATTTCTCGCACACCACAGAGGTACCGTTTAGCAGATTAGTATCCTGATGAAGCATTGAATGGTTGGAAAGAGTTAATTCATTCTCCTAGAGTACCTCATAAATACCAAGGAATTGCCTATTTACCTACATAATCTACTCCTCTGGTGAACAGAGAGAACAGGGGACAGAGTGCGTCAGCCAGCCATCATGCTGCAGGCCAGGATCAGCGAGGCCCAAGGGTGCACAGCCCCAGCGGGCATGGCCAGGCCACCTCATCTCCCTCCCTGGGCCCCGCCTGCTGGGTTGAGCCCCTCCCTCAGACTCCTCCCTGCCAATTTCTAAAAGCCCCAAACCTATTCCCTCTGATGCCTTTCCCTTCCAAAGATTTCCCCATGCCAGCCAAGGTGTTCTCGGGCAGTGCACTTGCCCCTGAACTCAGGGGATCCTGGACACCACAACCACAGATACCAAGAGCCCTGATCTCTTTGCCCCAAACTCTCACTTGAATTTATGCTGAAAAGCAAGGCTTGGACCAGCCCACAGCACAACCTGCTGCTCCTGGTCTGCCAAACACACAGCAGGCAGAGGGTTTTCTGCATCCTATGCTATAAACCTGACCCTTCACACAGTTCCCAGGAAGTGTGAGTCTAGAACAAAAGATGAGTATTTTTCGTACATGGCCCTGAAACACAATGACCATGTCACCCGGTCTCACTAAAGACAACCCGGCTGTTCTGGTTCTGGAGGGAGAGCCATCCAGGCTGCGCGACGGGCCCGGGGCATCCAGCCCTGGATTTCATGGGCCACTGCAGAGACTTGTGATAACAGAGAGATGCTGCCCTGGCACTGACTTCAGAACACAACCCATGACAGGCACGCAGATGCACACACAACATGCACAGGAACCACGGAAGGCTCGTGGGCCAAAGCTGCAAGCCCTCCTCCCTGCAGACCACAGCAAGGCACCGCAATGAGACACTTCCTCAGCTTACATGGCATTTCTGTCATGGAGCACAAGGCTTTGGTTTAGTGGCCACCATGTAAGTCAGGGACAAGAAAAGCACAGTCCCAGTCCCGAATGCCTGCTTTTCACCAGAGCACACGGGCGGTGCCAGCAGCCCAGGCACCTAGCTGTGCTGGTAAGGATACATCACTCGGATGCCAAAAGTCGCAAGACCAGGGCCTGCAACAGACAAATACAGAGAAAGCCCTCCACCAGCACCATCCTCCTCGATGCCTACAGGATTCCTACTGAACCCCAACTGTTAGGAAGGAAAAAATAAAACTCTTAAACACCTGAAATGTTTCGATGACACTGCAAACAAAACTGAGCCGTGGATCGCACATGAGCACACAAGGCAGACTCCAGATCACTGCCAGGGCCGGCAGAAGCCTAAGAACCGCTGCCCTTGGATCTGGGCGTCAGCATTCAGAAGAGCATGCACGAAGGAAGCTGTTTAATTAATGAAGAAGCCACGGCCAGGCCAATTCTGGAGGGAAACGTGTTTAGGCTGTGACTTCCCTACAGTGATGGATTCCGTGTTTTCCATAGAGAAACCCCCAGAATTTAGCTTGCTAGCTGAATCTGGAAACCCCTGAAACACAGTGTGGTCCTTAAATCGAGCTGGAGCTGCATCAAGATGGACAAGAAATCCAGACATCTGGTGCGAGCTCCTTCGGTCTCACAGTACTGTCCTCCGGCCTCCTCAAACCTGGATGCTCACCCACACCAGCATCTCCCAGTGGCTAAGTGGGATGGAGGCAAAGGGGACCCACAGACCCCAGGCATGGGGTCCCTTGACATGAACAGGGGAGAATCAGAGACCAGGGAGCTGTTCTGGCCCTGGAAGAAGGTCCCGGCTGCTGGAAGCTCCATTCCTGAATCAAATGCCCACTGTGATTAAAGGAAAAGCCCTTCACGGCTTCTCTGTGGCTGGACACTGCAAGTACTGTGGAGCTTTCAGAGTGATAAAAGACTGGCCCAGAGTTGTGACCACCCCTACAGGAGCCTGAACCTGGATAAGGTGCCCAGGATCTGGGCAGGTAAATCAAGGTTTGGGGCCTGAAGCCATTGCAAAGGTAAATAAATACCAAACGTGAAGGAGGTCCTGGAGGTTCCACTAGGAGGAACACACAGAGAATGGATCCTTCAGCCACCTTGGGAAAAGGACATGCTGGAAAGGGGAAGGACTCCCGAAAGGCTGGGAAACAAATGTGCTTCAAGGTACGCTGGATGGTTTTATAAAGAAAACAGGCACGTTTGCGAAGAATGAGCATCAGGGCTTACCTGAGGGACACCTGACTTGGCCAGAGGCAGCTCCTAATGAAGAGAGAAGAACAGTGACTAACACACTGCACCAGAGCTGTCTCCCTCCTGAAGGACCAGCGAGAGTGTCCTGCACCCCAAAAGCAAGGGCAGCAGCTCCACATCAGTATTCGCTTTGGGGAAGCATCCGAAACCTGCACTCACAAGCTCACAGCAATGGAAAACCTAAGGAAGCCAGCTAGCAACACCGAGAAGGTGAGCTGCTCTCACCCATCGGCTCCCAGAGGAACCCCTTCTGCGGCTTCCCACTAGCAATCCACAGGCCTCGGAGGAGAACTACTGAGTGGCTCAGCCAGCTGAGACAGCGGCACTATCTTCCAAGAGTTGCTTTTCAGAAAACTCACAAGTGCACAAAGGAGCTCTCCACACCCTGGTCCTGTGCCAGGTGGACATGAACACATGATCCTACAAACAGAAGACGGTGGCCAATAACCAGAGGGCTTCAGGTAGGGGAGAAACAACCAATGGCCTTGTTCCAAAGCTGTCCAGGGAGTCAGATCAAGACTGCAAGGGAGATCTCCAACTTCTTTTCTAAACTGCAAAGGACGTTTCTGTATTATTTGAACTACAAGATTACGGAATCCGTGAATCGATTTCCCACTTGAAAATGATCAAAGGCAAAAGATTTTAAAGAGCCTCCCCTCCCCCTGCCAAAAAAAAAAAAAAAACTCTGAAGCTATAAATAAACCTGCCCGTTTTGTTCAAAAACTTTTTCAACAAACAAGCACACATACAATCATAATCTCTCTCACACTGGGTAGGACAGACACTTGGCTTGAAGCATTTGCATAGGTATTTTTAACAATGAGGCAATAACCTCAAAGCAAGGATCTTTCTATCAAATCCTGAACATTTTGACCCAAGGAAACTAAAAATACAATAGAAAAAAAGGAGAAGCATCATGCCTATTCTTGGTTTAGAAATCTTGTCAACCTCAAGTCCACATAAACTGCTCGCTGTGTGGAGGGTGTGGGTTACAGGTGTCCTGGGCTCCACCTGTGGGCAGCACATCCCTGGGCCACACACCTTCGGCCCAGGCATCAGCTGTGAGGAGTTGGGGAAAAAATATGTACTAGGCATCATCTCAGAAAGCTTCATCTTCACAAGACCATAATTAATCATAACGAGGTTAAGAAATACTTAATACCTTTTTTGCCAAAATAGCAAGTGGTTTATTTCCTGCTAGGTCAGAGAACCAACTATGAATTGCACTCTGAGATCGAGCAGTAACCAGCCAATAATTATCTTTAGCATTAACTTGGGGTTTCTTCTTTCCGGTATCCTGGAAAGTGTTAAGCTTTAGTTTCTCAGCTAATATGCTGCTGAAATAAGCTCCGATCTGTGGAAAGAAGATAAAAGAAAACAGGAGGTGTAAAGACAATAAAGCAAGGCTGTACATTCTACACATTTTTACCTTTACTGTTTTAATCGAAAATCTTCATATAGTCCTTCAGAAAATAAAATGTTGATTTACACCCTTAAAGTCAAAGAGTTGTGATTGCCATAAGCTAACGCAATGCACAAACCCACCCAGCATCTCTGTTCCACAATTAACAAGTAGTCCACAGCAAAAAGAGGAGCCTTCGAAGACCTCTGGTAGGACAAAACGACAGCGTTCTCCACTCCAATGCCTTGGGGCAGGCGGGGTCTCCCTGCGAGGGGAAGGGAGCGAGCCTGGCATTGATTGGTGATAATTCCTTTGCTGGTTTCATGATACATCACATATTTTGTAAAAGGAAATTCTGCTTATACTTGATGATTTTAAAAAAAAACCTGAAATAAACTTAATTTACTTAAATGCAAATTTGCAAAAAATTTAATTAGGTATTCAACATTTCTGATAGGCCTGTCAATTCCACCAGCATTAGTCCTCAGGGGATGCTAGTGCCACCTGCTCAGGACGTGGCATATAGAGCTTCTGCAAGCTACCTGATCACTTTCCTATTGTCCACACACTAAGGTGGAAAAAGGGACAGGAAGGAAGAGAAGAGAGGAAGGGAATGGAGTCGTGTGTGACAACTGGGTGAATTACAGAGAGCTTACTAGAATTTCCAGGAATCCTTTACAAGCATCATATTTCACCCCCCGAGAATTCTGAAATATGATACAGTTAATAATTCCTAATAAATGTCCCCAATAAAGTTAGCAAACAGTGCAACTACAAGGAAGATAAAATCTCCACCGTGGTGACGCACAACAAGCATCACCTCAGAAACACTCATGAGGCAATAAGCAGTCTATCACTGAGGAATCAGCCATCAGCCACTAGCCAAGTTCACCTACCAGCAGGAAGCGCTGGCACGACATGTTCTGAATGTGAACTGGCCTTCTTCAGTCTTGTGACTAATGTAGTATAAAAAGTCTGTTTTGGTGAGTTGGTGGTAAAAACTAGAATGAGTAGAAAAATAAGCCTGAGCTTTTCTTAAAACAACTTCCCTGCAGTTGTCCTGTTGTAAGCCAATGTTTGCAGAACTTCCATTGAATACCTTAAGTGCAAAACTGTAGCAGAACCAGTTGTTTGTAAACAAGCCACCAATAGCAGCTTAATATTAAATCTCCCAATTGATATTTAGTCTTTGCACCAAGGGCTCCAAACAATGTGCATTTTAATCCCAAAAAAGGTTTAAAAATTTTAAAAAGTAGTCTAAGCAATCCATTGTTTCAATTAAACCCTTGTCTATGTACTTGACAGAGCAATGGAACATGGTGAATGCCTGGTTAATTCCTGCTAAAAATTTAGTAGAGAAATTCATACTACAAACAAAGTCAAAATTGCAAAGTAAGCAAAAAAGAAGAAAATGCACATTAGGTTCCAAAATGATCAAAGCATGATGACAACATTTAATTTCACTGTAACAGCAACATATTGACATTATTCAGAAATCTGAAAACATATTAAAAAGAGCTTCGGTTCTCAAATCCCAATGCTTACCTCTAAGTGATCAACTTGATAAGCTTATGTGTGGTTCCAAGGCTTTCTTAAGTGACTACACATGAGCAGACACTATTTGTCTCTTTCTTATGCGTCTGGCTCATTATGCACACACAGTACAAGCCTTCCGGGTCTGTATACACAGAGCTTCTTCACTTTTTTTAATAGATAAACCCACAAAGTACATTGTTGTGTATCACCATTCAAGTAATCAAGCTACTGTTGATGGACCTGCTCCAAAACTGTGCTATTATGACTCGTGTTAATGTGGATGGCCTTGTGTGCCTGTTACTTCAAACATGTGCAGGTACAGATTTAAGATAAATTTCCAGGGTTCCAGGATTCAGCATTGTGAAGTTCTGCCAATTTGCCCTCTCAAGGATTTTTGCCAATTTATAGTCTTTCGAATAAAGTAAAAGTTAAATTTAACACTTGCTTCCACCCACCCAAACCTAGGTGGAAAATAATTCATTTGATAAGAATATGGGGAAAAATTTAGAAGCTATGCTACCATTCACATATTTCATATTTATGAAATCAAATTCTTCTCAGAAGTCCTGAGTCCTTAAACAACCATCAAGAAGAATGCTAGCAGAAGTTGTCACGGATGTTACGTTTGTGTGTTCAGTTATTTGAGTTGACATAAAACTCAATACTGAGCACAACTCAGCAGCTCACATCAGGAGACAGAAAGCATGGGTACTTTCTGTCATGAACTAAACAGTGTCCTCCAAAATTCACACACAGGAGCCCCAGTCCCCAAGGTCACTTGATTTAAGATGGGGGCACAAGGGATAACTAAGTTTAATAAGGCCACAGGATGAAGCCCTGATGAACATGAATGAGGTGACAGAGACCACACGAGGGCGGCTGGAGGTGGCCAGAGGAGGCCACAGGAGAAGCAGACCTGCACCTCAACTGGACCCCAGCTGGACCCCAGCCTTCTGCAAGGAGATGAGCTTCTCTGTATCTGCCCCCAGCTCATGTGTGTCATCACAGAAGCAGAGAATGCTCCCTCGAACTCAAGAGATGTGCTTCTGAGAACTGACCCTAAAGAACAAAAGCCACCTCTCAAGTGTGACTACAGCCTCTTTATAGACACAGGCTGACCCACTGTGTATACAGGTGTCAGTCAATTAATTATAGCTCACAAATTAGGAATGCCATCCACCCACAAGTTATTGTTGTGAATACTTTAGTCAAAAGGCAGAGAGCCTACAAAATAACACTTCATATTATAAAAGTAGATCAGTTAGGGCTGCGGTCAGAGCACCTGGCTAGCATGTGCAAGGCCAAGGCTTTGATACCCAGCACCACAAAAGAGAAAGCTAAAAGACAGAACTCGCTTTCAAAAAGTGGATTAGCTGAGGAACAAGAAAACATTCAGGAGACAGACAGGGGTGAGGCTGCACAACCAGACACCTAAAAACAGTGAATGCAAGTGTTACACACATCTGACTCCAAGCCAAAACACAACATAAATCGCATACAGCTAATTGTACATCACGTGGATAAAGACTGGAAAAAGAAAACTCAAAATCAACGTGCTTGGTCAGTATAGTATGCAGAAGATGCATCGATTCTCTTTCACATCTCTGAAATGATATTTCAGTTGACAGCAAACTGTCAATTATTTATGTATATACAGATACAGGTGGATGCAATAAAAAGAAATCCAGAATAATAGACAAACTATTTGCATGCATATCTCTAGAAAAGGAACTATAGAAATTTACCTGTATACATTTTTAAATTTTTTGTATTATGCCTTTAATTTTATAACAGTGAAGGTATTTTAATACCCAAACAATAATAACTCAAAATGGACTTTTTCTAAAAAATTGATTCCTAAAGAAAACAAAAACAAACAATTCTATTTGTACACCTAATTGATAACATCACAGAAAGACATTCAAGAAACTTTTTTTTAATTTATTTTTTAGTTGTAGTTGGACACAATACCTTTATTTTACTTATTTATTTTTATGTAGTGCTGAGGATCAAACCCAGGGTCTCACAACACGTGCTAGGCGAGTGCTCTACTGCTGAGCCACAGCACCAGCCCAATTCAAGAAACTTTTGAAAACAACATTCTGATTATATCGGTATTGTATCTGTGTGATTGTGTATGTGTACGTGTGTGTGTGTGTTTTTTAAAGGGTGCTGGGAGCTTGAACCTCAAGGTGCTTAACCACTGTGCTACATCCCCAGCCTTTTTTATTTTTTTATTTTGAGATAGGGTGTGGCTAAGTTGCTAAGGCTGCCCTCAAACTTGCAATCCTCCTGCTCAGTCTCCCAAGCTGCTGGGATTACAGGCAGATGTCACCATGCCCAGCCTGACTACATATTTTTGATGAAAGTTAGTCTAAGGACAAAATTATTATTTTAAAAAATCGTAGATTTTATATAGTAACTTTGTTGCTAGAGTGGCATTGGAATAGTTTATGCTGAAATCTTATGTATACAAAGAGCAAACAAATATTTTGATATTGCAGAGAGCCAGGTTCTCAGCTGGGGAGAACACACAAAGATGGAACAGGAAAAGAGGGAAACACCCCGTGGCGTTGAGCCAGAAATGGCAACAGTAGTAGGCAGACAAGACAGACAGACAGACAGATCTCTGCTTTCCTCTCTGCCACCGAAAGTGAAAGCGGCCAGGAGGAAGGCCCCTCCAGCAGGGCTGCCTCGAGGCACCCAGGGCTGGGACGGGAGAGAACAAGGCGAGCCTGGAACCCGCTGTTGTCCCAGGGAGAAGGAGGTGACGAGACCGTTAGCCAAGGGCCAGAGTAAAGGGGCCCTGACTGGCCACACGTGGGACCATCTAAGCGTTCAAAAGAAATGAAGTAATAAATCCCAGCGCAATTAATTTTAAAAAATAATAATAAAAAATTTTTAAAAAGGAATCCATGGGTGACACAAAAAGAATCCAAGTGATCCTAAAACAGTGGGAGGTAAAGGAAGCTCTTCTTCACCAAAGAATGCAACCAATACCGCTGAGGAACGATCAGAAACCAGCATTTAGTAACCCTCAGCAAAAGAAATCCCTCAACTAGAATCATCAGGGATGCTGAAATCACCAGGTGGAATTCTACCTGACGGTGAGAATGGGATATTCATAGGGCCTCTGAGTACCACGGGGTAGGGGCTGGGGGTTCTGGGGCAGCACGGGGCTCAATCCATGCAAGGAGGGAGGAAGGAAGGCGGGGTGGAGGGTGGGGGGAGAGGAAGGATAGGAGGGAAGAAAGAAGAAGGGAGGGAGGAGGAGGGGAGGGAGGAGGAATGGAAGGAGGGAGGAGGAGGAAGGGAAGGAGAGGAGGAAGGGAAGGAGGGAGGAAGGAAAGGAGGAAGGGAAGGTGGGAGGAGGAGGAAGGGAAGGAGGGAGGAAGGAAAGGAGGAAGGGAAGGTGGGAGGAGGAGGAAGGGAAGGAGGGAGGAGGAGGAAGGGAAGGAGGAGGGAGGGAGGGAGGAAGAGGAGAAGGAGGGAGGAGGAGGGAGGGAGAAGGTAGGGAGGGTGAGAGAAGGAAAGGGAGGAGGAGGAGGAGGAGGAGGAGGAAGGGAGGGTGAGAGAAGGAAAGGGAGGAGGAGGAGGAGGAGGAGGAGGAGGAGGGAGGGAGGGAGGGAGGGAGGGAAGAGAAAGGGGAAGAGGAGGAGGAGGAGGAGGAAGGGAGGGAGGAGGAGGGAGGGAGGAGGAAGGGAAGGAGGGAGGGAGGGAGGAGGGAGAGAGGGAAGAGGAAGGGGAAGAGGAGGAGGAGGGAGGGAGGAAAGGAAGAGGAGGATGGGAGGGTGGAGGAAGGGAGGAGGAGGTAGGGAGGGAAGGGAAGGCACCACAGGTAGAGATCTGTAGGTCACTAAGAGGAGAAACTGCCACTTTATGAGGTAGGAGGGTGACAGGCGTGCCCTTCGCCAAGTGATCAGACTTTGTGTGACCTGTACCAGGGCTAACTGGCCGCACCTGCCTCCTGACAAGACACAATGCTGCCTCCTTTCCAAAAAGGTCCAACCCGAATTCTGCCATGGGAAAACCAAACAGATCTCAAGTACAGCCTGGACTGCAAGATATGGCCTCTCAGGCCGTCTGTCTATGATGACATCAGGAAGGCCTTAAGGAGACCTGGGAAGATGGACAGGGAACTACCAGACTCAGCATGGCGACCCCCCACATCAGTGCTGACCCTGTCTGACCCAGGGCAGCGCAGCCTGCAGGAGGGCATGCTAAACCTGGACTGGCTTGAGCAGCACCAACTTGGCAAATCAAAAGCCCCATCACAAACCCGCTTTGCCAGTGGTCCCAGGGGAGGGGCCCGCAGTACCTTTGACGGGTTGATCACAATGTTCCTGGCCGAGCCGTGCTCATCCCCAGTGAAGGCTGGCTGGTTGCTGAAGCCTTGCTTTACATTCACAGCAGTCAGTTCATCCTACAGAAAGAAGGCGCAAGTTAAGCAGGAGGAAGGAGAGCTGGACCTAACCCAGTCGCACCGCGGGTTTGCTGCCCTCTGTGAGAAGGAAGGGTGGGAAGGATGTGGGACAGCCACCAGAGTGCAGTTGCTGACATGCAAAAGCCAGGGCACAGGGGTGGAGAGCGAAAGCCACTCTGGCACTTGCCAATGCCTGTCAACGCCAGGCTAGACACACTGGTGATCCTCATCTCAGTCTCCTAACTTTTCCGCAAGTCTGAAATTTTTTAACTTCTAAATTGTAAAGAAAAAAAAAAATGAACAACCCCCCTCCCACACACACCAAAACAAAATCATTTGTTGTTGTTGTTGCTTTGCATACCAGGGATTGAACTCAGAGGCACTCGACCACTGAGCCACATCCCTAGCCCTATTTTGTATTTTATTTAGAGACAGGGTCTCACTGAGTTGCTAAGCACCTCACCATTACTGAGACTGGTCTCCTCCTTGCAATCCTCCTGTGTCAGCCTCCTGAGCTGCTGGCATCCCAGGTGTGCGCCAGTGGTAGCGCACAAAATCCTTTTTGACCTGCAATGGCACTAGAGAACCTGCAGCTTGACTCACTCCCTCGCCAGCCCCCCTTCTGTGTGAAGCCTGGCTCACCCAGCTTACCCACGACACCATGAAGGTTCCCGGGCCCATGCTGTATGACTAGAACCTACCCACATCACAACCACAGTCAGAGGGAGGCTCAGAGCTCAGCAAAGTTCTTTAAAACATTTGGCTCACTTGCTCCTCGCCGACTCTGAGGGAGACCGCAGGCATGCGTCCTCATGCCCATTTCACAGATGCACAAAGCGAGGCTCAAAAAGGTGCAGAAACCAGGCAGAGGCAGTCCTGATGCACTCTTTCTAAAACCCAGACTAGCAAGACAAATTTCCTGCCACCATGCCACCAAGGAACAAATGCCACGTGAAAATGTGGTCTAAAAATACAGAGCCACAACTCCTACGCTCCTCAAAAAGATCTCCTACTGGGTGGCCACAGGAAAAGCTCCAAGGTCACATCACATCAAAAATAGCCTAAGCTTGGACTGGGCTGGGGCTCAGTGGCAGAGCGCTTGCCTCACACATATGAGGTACTGGGTTTGGTCCTCAGCACACATAAAAATAAATAAAATTAAGGTAGTGTGTCCATCTGCAACTAAAAAAACAATTAAAAAAATAAAAAATAAATAGGCCCTCCTTGCCCGCCCAGGTTACCTGAGTTAGGGAACCACGGCAGTCTCCAAGACATGGACCAGAGAGAACAAGTGAGAAACTGGAAGACACAGAGCAACCTTCTGTTCCCTTCTCCGGAGCCAAGAAATGTGGTCGTACCACAGTGGCACACACCTGTAATCCCAGCGGCTAGGGAGGCCGAGGCAGGAAGATCCCAAGTTCAAAGCCAGCCTCAGCAACTTAGCAAGGCTCTAAGCAACTCAGTGACACCTTGTCTCTAAGTAGGGCTGGAGACGTGGCTCAGTGGTCGGGTGCCACTGAGTTCAATCCTCGGTATCGCCCACATTCCCCCCGCCCCAAAATAAAGCAATGGTGCAGCAACAGTCGGGGCAACAGGCGCATAGAACCCAGAACGTAGCTCACTCCACCTAACTACTGGGCCAGAGTGGAATTAGAAGAGCCACTGGTCAAACCGCTGCTGTGGTTAGATGGGAAGCTGAGGGATGCAACAGGTCACGAGGCTGATGTATCTGAACAGCCTCAGAGGGTGGCTTTGGCTAGGAGCTGAGGCCTCTGGAGGCACCCCCCGCAGCCTGCCTTGACTGGTGTGCTCCGCACATGGGTGGGCTCTCAAAAGACCCTTTATGAGACATGCAGCTCCAGGGCAATCCAGTCTCCGCCAGGCAGAAAGGTCACAGAAGTCATGATCCACCCAGAAGATGAACAGCCCACCTGTGTCCTGAATCCTCAGGTGGTGATGTGAAAATTGAGGACAAAACTACATGATGCACATTTTTAAGTCAAAAAGATTCCAGCCAACTTGAATAACCAAACTCGCTAAGGACATTTCCGTGGTCTCGGAGTCGGAGAGAGCAAGTGTACATACAAAAAGGATCATGACCTCAGGAGAAAACTAAAGGTGCCTGTGTCTTCCACCTTCTAACAGGCACTGCAAGAAAGGGCAGCTGAGAATCAGCCTCTGTCTTTACTGGAACCACGTCTGGGCTTCGTCAAGAGGCAAGGCGCGGGGCTTTCAGGACGAGTTCCATCCCCTTGGTGCCGTTTCATATCTGAATTCTAAATAGACCCTAGCTCAGTTAACCGATCACTGTATTTGCTAAGCCCTTGAGGTCAGGTTTCCGCAGAAACTAAGGAGTTAAAAGCCAAGAACGTCACGATCAAAATGTGCCCCCTGATGGCCTATTCCCTAAAATTTCTGCCAAGACTGAACACTGATGGCAAAAATCCAAACAATGAGTTAAGATTCAAATTCCAGAGTTTACTATTGTTGTTTAAACAAATGTTTCTCAAACTCCAAGAATGCACCAACAGACCCCTTTTAAAGGAAAAGCACTGTCTCCAACCTGAAGGCATCTGTGGATTCCGGTTTGAGAAACTGGCTAAGGCATAGATACTTGATGTCATTAGGTAGCTTTAAGAGACTCAGAACAAAAGGCAACCTGTGTTACATGAATTCAAGCAACAACAAACTTTTATGACACTACTCTGCAGGCCTTTGCCAAGTCTAATTAGGCAAAAATAGAAGAGACAAAGTCCAGATTTCAGAACAGCATGCTTCTAAAACCCCCAAGCCAGAATCTGTAAGGGACACAAATAGCTTCCTCTTGCACCAGCCTTGAACTTCTTCAAAGATTTTTCAAAATAAAAGAGTAACAACCACCAAAATTCCTATAATGCCTTTCCTTACAGTCTTGACCTTGTTCCATTGTACCTCGTGGACAGTTCTTAGAACCACAGCTGCTCCTTTGGTCATCTGAAAAGGTGAGACAGCCAAGACCCCAGGGACCTGGTGCTCACAGCGTCAGTGAGGATCCAGGGCTGGGTCTGCACTCAGGGCACCAGACCAGCAGAGCTGAACCTCTTCCAGAAAAAGGACTCCTCAATAAAGGCTGACGTGTCCCTCATTGTACAACATGGAGAAGAGAAGAAAAAACTATTCTACTAACTTTTGGGTAAGAGGCAACCATGTATTCAGAGACAGTCTTAAATGAATTTTTCATTAACAGCATCTAGGGCAAGAAAGAAAAAAGTTGTATGTGTGTGTAAGACCAAATATTTTCTCAGCAAAGAAACAAGACGCTTAAAACAGGGACTCCAACGGCCCCTGTGGCCCAGGGTAACACCACCCAACAGTGAGCTACCCAGGGCCTTGGAAAGGTGCACAATTGACTTGGGCCCAAGGCAACCTGAACAGGGAGAAGGGAAGAGTCCCCCCCACAACTGGCCTGCCTTGCCATTGATGCAACTGAAATCCAAGCCTTAAAGCAATTCTAGGAGACAGTCACTCAGGCAGAAATAGAAGCAAAAGCCTAAAAAAGAGCCTAAGTTAATGTGGAATGCCAGTGGTCACTCCACGTCTCCACGTCCCATACTGATAGGAAGAGCAGGGCTGTGGGTGAACCCCACAAGCATTCAGAAATCTCCTGCGTTAGCCTTGAACTTCAGAGAATGAGCTTATTTTTTGGATCACTTTCAAAGCAATCTTTTAATTTCAATAATACATTTCATTAGGAAAGTGAAAACGTTTGGATGCCAGTTTGGAAGCTGCTGAGGCTCTTTCAGGCTCAAGAAACAAAAACAGTTCAGTGTGGCAGGACTTCTGATGACCATCTGAAAAGCAGGTCATAAACGGCTCACCCACACCCCCCCTACCCAACCACAGAACATGGGCGAAAACTCCCGATTTTCTCAGTCACCTAGTAGTCTAACAAGCTAACTAATGAATATTCAATGACTTAGACAGAACTGTCCATCAGCCACACAATGACACAGAAGTGAAGAAATATCCCTCTAATGTGCTGGCCAGGCAGGCGGGGTTAATGCCCATCTTACCCAGAACAAACACAAATTTCTTATAAACAGTTTTATAATTACTTTTCCTAACTTTGTCCATCCCTCCTCCAAAACAGCATTCTCTCAACCCCAAAGACTATAGAACCCTATTTATTTGTTATTTTTATTTTGTGGATATGCATGTTTTAATTGGTCATTCCTAATCTGAGAGAACCAAGTTAGCCTGATGGACATTTTTTTTGATGTTTTTATTGGTACATTTAGTCATACATAACAATGGGGTCATTTTGACATGATCAAAGAGGCATGGAATCCGATTTGTTCCATTCCAGGCCTTCAGTACTTCCCCCTCCTTCCTTCTCCCTCCCCTGTCCCCTGCCCTCTATTCTATCTTAGACCCCAGGTTGGAAGACGGGGTAAGACATCAATCACCCTCACCAACACACCTAGTGGTCCTTAGGTAACAGACACGAGCGACCCAGGAGATAAGAGAACACTCTTTCATCCCCTCCTCTTGTCACTAACCAACCCAGCCCTGCATCTCTCAAGACATGTCTAACATTTATTCCTCCTTCTAAAATGCGACAGTGGCTCTCTAAATGTGGCCACTGTCACAGCAGGGCCTGGTCACTGCTCCCCATTCATCCTGCCCTCTATGCAGCCTACCTCCGACCGGGTCCTGAGATACTATTTCCCTTTCTGCACTTCCCTACCCAAAAGCCTCAGGCGGCTTCCCACACTCCCCCAGGAGCTAAAGCAGCACGACTCTCCAGACCCTAAGTAATAGCTCTCAACTGTTTTCCAACTAATTCTGGCCCCAAATCAGAACAGAAGCACTGGGACCAGCATCCGAAGCCTCCAGCAATCAAACTCTGCATGCTGGTCTTGCTTCTAAGCATCAGAGTCACATGGAGCTGGGTTTGAATGCAGCCCTCACCCAGGACTGGGGCCACAGGAACCAACCTCTCTGCACCTGCCTGGCTTTGT